GGTTGCTCTTATAACCTCCCCCGGGCTTGGCTTGGCCTTGCCGAGGGCGATCATCAGAGGGTCCTGAAGACTTAGGGTGATTTGGAGGAGCCCCCGACCCCGGTTGTTCTTGTTGTCGGCCCTCGGGGGCTGCTGATCCGGATGCTGGTGGTATTTCTCCACCTCCTCGGCCTCAGCATATCGGTCCCCCCGCTGCAAAGCCCTTATGTAGTCGCGCGGAGGGGGGGGGTTCAATGATGAGGCTCCTTGAAAAGTTGTCGGTGCGGAGGACGGTCTGTAGGAGGGCCAGGAGGGTCCCGTCATCAGCACCGTCGACTTTGTCGGCCTCCGTCCTCCAGCGCTCCAGGAAGTCCCGAAGAGTCTCATCCCTCTTCTGGCGTATGGTTAGGAGGTGGGAGAAGTGCTTCCTCGTGTGACGCCTCCCGGCAAATTGTGTCAAGAATCGCTGGGCGAGTTCTTGCCACGAATCAATGCAGCCCTCGGGCAACCGGTTGAACCATTCGTATGCCGACCCCTCTAAGGTGGAGAGGAACCAACGACACAAATATTCGTCCGATGCCCCTACCATCATCATGCTGTTCTGATATTTGCTGTAGTGTTCCTGGGGGTCCGTCTTCCCGTTGTAGGGCTGTATGTGTTGCCCTCGGTATTTCTCCGGGATCCGGGCCGCCAGTACCCTTGGGGTAAATGGCGTCCGGGTCCGGAGCTGGATGACGGGTTCCCCGGAGCCCTCGGCCACCTTCTTCTGTAATTCCTCCATTTTGGCCATCATGGCCTCGTATTTGAGGTCTGAATGAGAGGTGGAGGTGGTGGGGTGAGCTTTGTTGGCCTCCATTTCGTCAAGCCGGCGTTGGAGGGCCGCAATAATTTCGTCCCGGGGATCCTTCGGGAGGGTCTCCGCCCCCTACGAATGAACCCGGGCCGAGTGGGCCTGGTTGATTTGGTGGCGAGCATCATCGGCATGAAGGGGTGCCTTGCCTTTGTCCCGAGGGGGACGCTCCTCGTCTGCCCTCGAGACAGACCCTCCGCTTTCCTGGGGCCTTTGGAGTGCTTTCCCTCCGAGGCGGTCTTGGACCCCTCGGCGGTCTGGCCCTCCTCCGAGCCGGTTGAGGGCGGAAGTACGGGGCCTTTCTCTGTTGTCATTATGGCGGTCCCGGGACTGAACTTCCTGGGAGGACGTATCTTGGGCCACTACCCCTTCGTCGTTCCTAACGCGAGGGGTGGGGTTTCCGAAGGGGTGTGGCAGAGGGGGAAGTATGATGTTCTCCCCAACCTGGGGGTGAGCCGGAGCCAGGGTGCCGAAGGCACCCGGGTTCTGAGTGAGCGTTTGGATGAAGGCGGAGAGCGCCGATTGCACGTCGATGGTGAGAACCGGAGGGCTGACTTGGTCATCGCTCCGGTTTTTCTTCTTGGCCTCGATGCCGAGGCGGGCATCGGGGGCATTCTGTTGGATCTGAAGGCGTAGGTCGACAGCCGCCTGTTCCAGCCCAGCGATGACACCGCCCTCGGGAGCCCTGTGAGAGGCTTCGGGGGCGTTGACGTCGCCGAGTGCCAGGTTCTTGTCTTCTACGTTTTTGGAGTTGGCACGTGTTGTTCTCACCATTTTGGTAGAGGGCTAGTGTTTGGCGAAGGGGGAGGATTTCTTACTCGATTGTTCGACCTCTCAACGAGAGCACCAAATGATGGATAGTGTACCCGGGGGGTAGCTTATCCGAGGGGTTATTGCGGGGAGTAACAAGAGAGAAGTCAGAGCAAGTAAATGTAGAGAGAGAAAGTATATTAGAAGTGCGGAGCGTTTTCAGCGTGGTTACAAATGGGGAAATGGGGTGTTATTTATAGTAGCAATAAATGCCGGACAGGGACACGTGTCAAGCGCCTATTGGCCGAGAGGTCACCTCAACTGGTTGGCGTTGGCAGCCGCATGTGGCCGCATTTAATGCGGCTGTTGGATGGGACGTCTGTACAGGGTACGGTGATCTGTACGCATGTGAGGCGGATATCATGTCGGGAGAGGTGCCCTCAGCTGCAGAGGACTAGCCGAGGGCTCTTAGTGCCGAGGACCCCTGAGTGCCGAGGGCTCCAGGTGCCGAGGGCTACTGTTTTCGCCGTTTTCTCCCAGTTCCTCTGTTTGTTCAAAATATCCACGCTGTGATAGTTTGGAGCCTTCGGCCAGGGGGCCGAAGGCACCCCTGGTGCGTATTGCGGGCTGCTTGGTACTCTGGGCGCCGTGATTTGGGCCTGTTGGGCCTTCTGGGCCTGTTGGGCCTCCACTGGAGTAGTAGGAGTCTGTGGGCCAGGTGTTCCCGGGCCATATACTCCATCATCTAGTCCATTTAATATATCACAATATTACTACTCGTGTGCCGAAGTTATCAATAATTAGGGTAACTCCTACTACCCTCGTTCCACTAATGTTGAAACGGGAGATGAGGGTGGCACGATTATTAAGAATAGTGGGTTTATATGTGGTTAATATGAATTAATAAAGTAAGAATGGTTTAAACCGACACACTTTACTAAATTTAGTATGGGACAATATTAGTGAGATTTTCTGAAAATGTAAAATGAGACAATGTTAGCGAGACGGATGGAGTATTACGGAGTATGCCTCATCGCACAAAGATGATATTCTATGCTTGAGAACTAATTTCAGCCAATGCTCTTAACTTAAGATAGGTTTGCAATTAGTAGATCGCACGGAATACTCGTCTTCTCCCTAGCTTTCATTTAGGGTTTGTTTCTTCGACAGGCGGCTTGCGCCATTTCTTGTCTGTTACCACGCTCTGCTTCTCCATGGTCTACTTCTATATGATTTATGCTTCTGGACGTGCTGATATGAATCGAATTTGAAGTGTGTGATTGATGCCTTCAAATGAAAAATCGCTTGGTCATTTTCGCTCGACTTCATCGTCGAAGGGGAGCGATTGGGACTGTGTTGGGAACCGGGGCAAATGGATATGGCGACTGGATTAGGTCCTATTTAGATGGATTTCACCTCAGGGTGGAGGTGATTGGGGGTGCTCGAGTGAGGCAATCTCTGAATCGAGTCTTAATAAGCAAGGGAGAAGACAGATTGACAGTCTGCTTCCCTCCTGAACCGCCGCCCTGGAGCGGTCAAGGTGATAGGGTTTGGAAGACGATACTTCAAGAAAACTGGCATGAAGGAGACACTAGATATAATGTCGTTATAAGGATCTATATGGTCAGTGATTGTTGTGTCTCACCCGCTTGGTGTTTAGCGATTCGTATTGCTCTTTCATGGATGATCGTTTCTAAGTCTGGCAGTAGACCGGGTTGATAATGCTAGTTGGTTACAGATAGTTGTTGTCAGTGTTGGTCTTTTTGAGTTTGTTGCAACGTCCTGAATCCTAATGATATTAATATAGGTGGTTTTTCCTTTCAACAAAATTCTAGTCCATTTATTATTAAATTTATTACGGGAATAAATAGCTTCACAATATCATAAGTTCGAAATTGTCATTGCAGCTCATCTTTTAGTGTCTAAATGATCTATACATGGAATTGGTCTCATGTGTTAGATTTGGCGGAATAAACTAGCAAAATATAAGGGTGTATACAAATGGCTGGACCAGATATCACTTCTAGTCACGTAAATTTTACATTTTCCTAAAAGTTTAATATCTAACCTTATCACAGTAACTGATTACAAGATATAACTATTGAGATAAAAAGAAATTGTATGGTGTATTTTAGCTACTAATAAAATAACATCGAATAAGTAATTTGTTTATAAAATGATCTAAATATATATTTAATAACTAGTATTTATTATTGCAGATAAATGCTTATAACAATAAATAAATACTTTATATTTAATTAGCCAAAGGACACGTTCCATGAAATCAATGCTATCACATTTCAAAATTATGATTTGTACATGTCATACACAATCACTATTTTAATACTAATCAAATTATTCTATTATGTGAGTTAACTCACGCATGAAAAGTGTTCTCATAGTAATAAATTAAATTAATTTAATTAAAAACTCGGTCTTATAATATTTAATAGTTTGAGTTTAATTACACTTTATTTAACATAACACACTAATGCTACATTTCTCAAAAAATTCCAAACAATCCTCCTCTATTTGCAGGTAACATAACACAAAAATAGACTTTTCCCATCCTTGCCACACTACTAAAAATGTGTTATTTACCTATATCCTTTGCTACGAATTTTACTTCAAAATTTGCAGGTAAATAGGTTTGTTTCGAATTTTACTACTCGTATAAATTATGTTTCATAGGTAATATGCTTGTGGATAATACATTTATTTTAAATCCGCAACTAGTTTGTCGCAGATATTTTCATGGGAAATGATAAAAATGTGCAAGTAATTTTTGTAGTTTGGTAGCTGAAGTGAGTAAATTGTGTGGAATTTTCCTGCGATTTTTTATACAATTGTTGTGGGAAATTTTTCGCAAGAAATTGTGTATGTATCATTTGCAACTAAAATTGCGGGTGCTTTTTTGCAGTTAAAACTGCAGCTACTTCTTCACGTAAAATCCCTGAACATATTGATTTCATAGCTAAATATGTAGAAAAATAGTAGCAGAATACATAATTGAAATCTTCCATCACAAAAGCCTCAGCAAAACCTGTTGCAGAAATACACACACCCAGAGCAAAGCCTATTCCAGAAATATCACAATTGAATAGATGTTTTAGAAGCCTTGGAGTTCATAATATTACTCACATCCAGCTCCTAATATTAAATAATTTCCATCAAACCATCAACAAATTCAACTTTGCAAATAAAATTCACTTCTGATGTATCCAAAACTGAAGTTCAAAGATTAGAATTCAATTGGAGGAGTCATGTGAAACTAAAAAACTACTAATTAGCCCTCAATCAGAGGTGGAGTCTTCAGATGCACTATCTTCATCCTCTTCAGAGCTTCATCACTGGAGTCATCATTTGCATGTGCAGGCTGTGAGCGAGAAGAGCTTGCATTAAATTCTAACTTCTCCATTACAAGATTCAATGTATTCTTTGTGTTAGCCCATTCCTTCTTCATTTGTTCTTTCTCTTGCTTCACTTTTTCAAGTTGTGCTTGCAAAGATGTATTAAGTAAATGAACTTCAGTTCTTATCCTTTCTTCGACCTCTTCGGATATGGGCTCCTGTGATGCTCCATAACACAAACACTTGACTGACCTGCCCAACTAACCAAGACCTCAAACCCTACTGTTGTTCTGTCCTCTCACCGTATCTATCCAAATAATGAAATCCGATGGCATATGGTGTGATTGTGAAGCATCATCTCCAGAAAAACTTTCACTTTCAATGGTTCTTTGTGATGACATTTCAACTTTTTTCTTTTCAAAGCTCTCCTACAAGTAATAAACATAAATATTACATAAGAGTCAATTATCAATTCCTATTTACACAAAAAGTTATACAACATGTACATGAGTATCAAACAGTCCATACTTTTTAGCTATTTAACTAGTTGAATAACATTAACTTACATGATCACTTTGAGCTTTTGGATGTACCCACTCTTTACTCTTCTTCTTCTTCTTCTTCTTCTTCTTCTTGTGTGTACAAAAATAAAACTCAGAAAATGTTGGATCCTTTCCATTTCTTTCAGCCTTCTGTAAGTCAAGAAAAGTTTGAAGGACAAGAGTTAGCATTAAAGTAGTTGATAATGAATAACAAAACATATATATATATATATATATATATATATATATATATATATATATATATATATATAAGAACTTTAATTATACCATCCTTTTGAAATGAACTTTGTGGGGGATTGACCCCCCTGTGTGTAAAGATGCGCCAGCACTGGAGTTACAGTTCTTTTTATTTTGTTCAGACTTTGCTTTAAAATCATCATATTTCCAATACTTCACAAGATCAGTCCAGGCTGTATCTCCAATCCAAGTAGGTTTGACATTACCATTTCTGGCTTTTTGTAGAAGTTGTGTCATCTTACTAGAACCTCTCTTCTCAAAAGTTTTTCTGATGTCCAGCTTCAACTTTGGAGCCCACCTAAACTTTTTCTGTAGTAAGAACAAAAAACATAAGAAATAAAACACTGTGGAACACTTCAGCAAAGATATTGTATAATAGTTCAATAACAATTGTCTATGCAGTCCCTATTTATCTGTTTAGATTATTGTGTATTGCCTTGTAGTTAACCACGCTTTTTTTCCTCAGTTAGCCTTTTCAATTGAACTCCCTTTTGTCTTAATTAGTCATGTTATGATGTTCAGTGTTCTCCATCATTTATTCTACCATGTTTTCTTCCTACTTTGTGTTTGAGTATTGGTGTAGGAAGATGAGGAAAACAAAGAAGAGTGATTATGTTCAGATTGTCTAGAAGATTGATGAGCATTCAATACATTCTGTTGAGGTTGTTGGTTATGTCATATGTGGGTATTCTTAAGATTGATGTGGACTATTTGTTTGAACATGAGATAGAAGGGATTTATTTGGAACTATTGGAGGAAGATTAGGTGGTGGTGTACTGGTGTGAGCTTTGCAGATTTTGAATGCTTCTGTGGCCTACGTTTTAGTGTGTTATGTTGAGAATGTGGTAGGTGATTTGAATGAGTAGATTGATTAAAATGAGGAACAAAGGGTTGTGTGGGTGCAATTGCTGCTTGTGGAGTTAACTGTGTAGTAGATAATACAAGGAGGGAATTTGACTTTGCACCCCACTTTTTGGGTGATATTGGACTTTGCACCCCATTTTCAAAAAACTTTTAGTTTGCACCCCAACACATACCATTTTGTGAAGAAAAATTTCTAAATGGGGTGCAAAGTCAAAGGAAATTTAAGTTAAATGGGGTGCAAAATTAAAGTTCTTTCAAAATGGGGTGCAAAGTCCAATACACCCCAAAAATGAGATGCAAAGTCAAATTCTCCCTAATTCAGGTATGGTTTGGTTCTTCCACTTCTTCCCTGATATTTTGGTATTAGTTCCATGTTTATCATTTGGACCGGACATAGCTTGATGAAAATGAGGAATTGAACAAGAGGTTGTGTGGGTGCAGTTGTTGCTTGTGGAGTTAACTTTGTAGTAGATAATATGGGTATGGTCTGGTTCTTCCACTTCTTCCCTTATTTTTTGGTTTTAGATCCACGTTTATCATCTGGATCAGCCATCTAAAAAAAACAACAATAAAGATTAAGTTAAGAAAGAAATTACTGACATACATAGGAGTTCTAGGAATCTTCATCATCTTCGTCATGTTCTTTATCTTCATCATCGTCATCTTCTTCTTCATCTTCATCATCATTATCATCGTCATCATCTTCTTCATGTTCTTTATCTTCATCATCATCATCGTCATCTAGAGAAGGACGACGTTGAAAACATTTGCCCATACAAGTAGGCGGGAGGCATTTGGGATCTGGTTTACTTTGGTTTAAAAGGCCAAGTCGTACGTAGACTTTTTAGATCTGATTTGCTTTCGAAAAATCCTTTTGTATCCACCCCATTTTGTTTATGCACACAAGCAATTCGTTAAGAAGAAAGAAGCATTTTGTCTGTGTTTATAAACATCTTGTCTATGTTTGTGTACACAGATAGAATAAGGGGTGGGTACAAATGCGTGTACAAAAATGGGTACAACAAGAAGGACTCATTTGCTTTTGGGTTTAAGAGGCATATGGTGAATGGAATCTTATGTAGTTTTGTTTTATTATACTACTTATTAAAATAATAATACCCATTTAGTTATCCCAACTAAGGGCTCGTTTGGTAACACCCAAATCGGCTGCATTGGCTGATTCTGCTGAAATTTATGAAGTTCTGACTAAAGTGATTGTATTGGCTGATTCTGCTGATTTGTGAAATAAATAAACTCCAGGTCATTTTAAAATATGCTTTATTAATTAATCAATGAAAAAATTATATGAAAAAATAACTAAAATGGTCCTCTACAATAATTTCAGCCAATACAGTCAGAAAAGTAACTTCAACCTTACTTTTTCTTATTATTACACAATTTAGCGCGTCAAACAGAAAGTTACGTGTTTGGTGAAAAAGTTGGTTAATAAGCCTGAAATGTCAAAAATCATGGTTACCAAACGGACTCTATATATGCGTGAACCTAGACAAATTCGTAAGTAAATGTAAAACAATTTTCTCCGACTAAATGTGTAGATTTACTTTGAAAGTTTTTCCCGGAATAATGCTAATTAAATAAATAATTCCCAAAATACTGTCAGCTTAAAAATAATTCCCAAAATACTGTTGGGGCTAATCACGATTAACAAAAGACGCCACTCAAAGTGGCGGCTCATTAATTCACAAAATAATCCCTCTTTCTTTCCAGCCTACGAACGACGAAGAAAGCAATTTCCCTCTGCAATAGAATGGTGAACGAGAGAAACGGCGGCACCGGTTCAAATTCCGGTCGGAACTCGTCCAAACGAAGCTCAAGTCAAAGGGAAAAGAGACACGGTGTACCCGAGGTCGTTTGTGTTCCATTATATCGCCTTTCAAACGTTTGAATCGAGGTATTTCACCATTTTTGCTAAACCAGTGTTTTTTGTAATTTGTTGTTCGAAATTACTGTTTTTTAAATTATTTTTTTTGTATTTGATGCTATGAAATATATAAGTTCTTAATGTTGTTATTATGATTGAGTTTATATAACTTGTAGAATTTGAATTATCTTTTGTGTTGGTTGGATTGAGTTTGATATATGGGTCGTCTGAAAAAGATCGAGTAATGTAGCACATTATTAATATGTATCTATCTTATTTTTAATTGAATGAAATCATAAAAATGATACATATGATTTAATACAATTCGTTTGAATTAGTAGTTGAATTTTCAACGTGCGGCATAAATCATAGTTTTTTTTGGATTGATTTTTTGGTAGAATATGTCTCCAAACTTCCTCATTGTTTGTCATTGGGGAGGATCTATTATCGAGGAGTCAAACAGAAATCATTATGAGGGGGAGTGGAAAATAATTGTTGTTTCCTGTTGGGTGGATGTGGCTGAGTTAATGAATAAAATTTATACCGCCACATCCATCAATCGTATGAACAAGTTGAATTTGATAGTTAAATATCACATTCATGGTGGATCATACATGTTGATGCCTCTTGCTGACGATGAATCCGTTACGGGAATGTGGACCTTAATCACGAATACTGCTATGCATACCATGGAGATATATGTTGAAGAAGCGATTGTGTTACCCATACAACCTGATAACCCGTCATTATCTTTCCCATCCACAAGTGTTCCAGTTGTGATGAATATGGTTGCATTGGAGAATGGAAGATACGTGAACAGTGATGTAACGTTTCTGGATTCACATTGCAACGAAGACGATGCAGATGAAATTGTGAATCATGACACACTAACAGATTCAGATGAAGATGGTGGTGATCTGGTAAGTGACAATGCTCCATCCAGCCACTACACCAAAGTTTATGAGCTCCTTGCGGGATTTGATGAATCATGGAACGGTTGTACAACTTCTAGTCACTTCTCTGCAGATGGTGAATTCAAGGTTGGGCAAGAGTTTGATGATAAGAAACAACTGATTAACATGGTTAGATTGTACTCTGTAAAGAGGAACCAATTTTTCTCAGTTGTAGAGTCTCACAAACACAAATGAGTGGAAAAAGCGTAAGCGGAAAAAAGAATGTGGATGCACTTGGCGGATCCGGGCTACTAAGAAACATGTAGGGCTAGATATGTTCAAAGTTGTTCGTTATGTAGGTCCTCATATACCTACTTGTCTAGGTAACGTTGATAACCATGACCATGCTGGCATCACATCTCAGTTCATAACCCATGAAATTATTAATCTTCTTCGTACTGATCCATCACTAAAAGTCCGCACTATTAGTGAGCTTATGAAGGAAAAGTATGGGTATGTACCTTCGTACAAGCGAAGTTGGTTGGCTAAGCAAAAAGCTATCAGTGAAATATTTGGAGATTGAGAGGTGTCATATTCTGATTTGCCCCATTTCATGTTGGCATTACAACATTCCAATCCAGGGACGGTCGTGCATTGGTACCCACCTCTTTCAGATACCAATGAGTTATTAGTATTTCTTATTGTATCATATTACATTCCATTTTAAATTTCCCCGCTAATTTTCTCCGTCTTTCAGGTACCACTGACAGTGTGCAGTTTCAAAGAGTTTTTTGGGCGTTTAAGCCTTCCATTAAAGGCTTTAATCATTGTCATCCCTTAATGATCGTTGATGGAACGCACTTATATGGGAAGTATAAAGGTACGTTGTTGGTGGCAATGGATAGTGAATCAGAGAATGGAGAGAGTTGGTCGTGGTTTATGGCGTGCATACGTCATTTTATCACACACAGAGAATTGGGTGTTATTTCTGATCGACGTGCTGGAATTGTGGGGTAGGCAGTGGATGGGAGGAGCCAGATTCACGACATAGGCTTTGCATACGGCATGTCGCTTCTAATCTGCATACTCAATTTAAAGACATTCACTTGAAGAATATGTTCGTTTAGACAACAAGTTAACGTCAAAAGAAGAAATTTGATGGTGGATTTAACAGGATAGGTGAAATTCAGGCACAAGCACGACAATATCTAATAAACATTGGTTTGGAGAAGTGGTCTTTAAACCACGACGGGGGGTACATGTATGGCACCACAACAACGAACATGGTTGTAGTTTTCAATAGCGTCGTGAAAAGTGCACGACATCTGCCTATAACTATCTTAGTTGAGTTATCATTCTATCGTGTGAATGTCTATTGTGTGGAAAAGAAGAGAAACTAGTAAGCGAAGGTTAGCAGAAGGTCATCGCTATTGCTAGCAAGTGACTGAACTGGTTGAGAAAAATACGGAAAAAGCAAAGCATCACAAGGTCACAACATTTGACATAGGTCATGGTTTATACCAAGTGGAGACGGGTCGTGGTGGTCAAACTATGGGGAAGGGTGGTACAAAACAAATGGTGAATTTGCACCGTCACCATTGCACATGTCAGAAGCTGAATATTTATAAGATTCCTTGCTCACATATCTTAGCGTTATGCAGAGAACGTAGTTTGTCCTATGATGCTTTTGTTGATATATTTTTCTCATCATCGGAGTATGCGACTTCTTATAAAAGAGTATTTAAGACCATAACAGATACAGCTTATCGACCATCTTACACTGGACCACGAGTTGTGCATGACCCGTCAATGATTTGCGCTAAAGGTCGTCCAAAGGCTACACGATTGACAAATGAAATGGATGAAGGTCCTAGAGGTACTGTGAGATGCGGTTTATTCACAAATGCATTAGCAATATTAAAAAATAAATAAATTTAATTTTATTACTCATTTGCGAGCAAGAGCGGTAATGAGGTACAGGTTCTTTACTTACCTCTTTTGGAGTCTTGGAGATGCTCTTAGTGGCAGATATATCCACTAGTCATTTTCGTGCCAAATAACTTGTGCCAAACTATTCTTGACACGAAATTAGCATATCCGTGCCAAAATCCCTGTCAATTTTGGAAAATCTCTGCCAAAAACTCCTACCAATCCCGATTTTTTTGTAGTGACAATTCTGTCACTAAAATCTATCATTTAACTCTAAAATAAAAAATCAAACTTCCACACATCTCACTCTATCAATCCACTTCAATAGCTCTAAAATAAGAACCCAAGTTTTAAAATGACATTTTCAAAAGAATGGTTTTCTTTATATATTTAACTAATTTATTACAGAGAAATTTCCTAGGATATGACTAAAACTCAATGAATTTCCCAATCTATGACCTAACTAGTTTTTAGACCTTTGTATGACCGAAAATCCAAAAAAAAAAAGAAATTCTATTTTTATTTAAAGATTGAATGACGAAAATACCCTTATTTAAAATATGTGCATTTTTCACTAATTTTGTTCAATTAAAATTACTGCACTTTGTATTGACGTTATTGCACGACATTAATGCACGACTTTACTGCACATCCGGTAATAATCACTGCACTTCCGCCAAAATTAATTCTCTTCTCATTCACTTGAAGAATTTATTTTTAGTTTTTATTTTTAATTTTTTAGATTTAATAATTTAATTATTTTACGTCTAATTAAGTATATTACATTTCATGAAGATATTACTGCTCTGTGTTAATGCAATACTGGTCATAATCACTGTACAACAAAATTTCTTAATGCATTCATTCACTGTTATGTACAACATGTCTATTACCATATATATTCACTCCAATACTCAACACTTATTGAAATGTTCGCTGCCGATTTTCAATGCCCATATTTAATGCCCACAAACCCTAATTTT